AATGTCATATTCATTTGACAAAGCATTTTGTCCAGAAACCACTCAAGTAACAATTTATCAAGAAATAGCACAGCTAGTTTAAATTGTGCTTGATGGATACAATGTTTGCATCTTTGCGTATGGTCAGACTGGATCAGGTAAAACATTTACAATGGAAGGTGATATCAACGGCCGTGATACGTGGGGTGTGATACCACGTGCTATGGAACAAGTCTTCTTTAGTGCCAAGGATCTCATGAGAAAAGGTTGGAAGGTAATAAATGTCCATTTTGTACACATAAAGTATCTTATTTATGACGACAGTTGACATTCCAGAAAGATACATGTAGCTCACGACACATGATTATGTTAAATCGCTCGATTGGGGTTTTCCAGCCATTTATTCAATCATGATTTTTCCCAAAACTTTATGTAGTACGAGATACAAGCGTCTTTTCTCGAAATATACAACGAGACAATACGTGATCTCCTTGGAAACCCTGACAGCAAACATGAGATTAAACAAGTAACCACAAACAATGGCAAACAAGCGAACGATGTGTTTGTTACCAACTTGAAAGCCGTTGCCGTTACATCATCCGATCAAGTAAGTAGCATTCTATTTCGTCATCGGCCTAAGTCGTTACGGGGCCGTACGAAAGGCTGTAACACCTGTGCGCAAAGATTTTTTGAAGAGGTTTTCATTTCAGTTTTTGGATTTTGCGGTTGTAGAGTGTTATCTGTGTTGCTTTAAGTTTATATCGTTTTAGTTTATGGTTTCTATGTTTTTTTTTAAACTTTGTTTCGTCTTAGTTTTACGTTTTTAGCTCTCTATCATTGAAGCAAACGATGATATCGTTGAATTTCATAATTAGTTTTCTCATACTAACATGACGGCTACGTACGTCTCCTACGTGAATCGCCATCTTCTATGTAACGCAAAAAAATTATGTGTTTATAAATGCAGTTCGTCCAGGTTGGTATAATCCTGAGAAGGACTGTTTTGTTGTTGTTGACTGACGTTTCGACAACCTTAGCGGTAGTCATCTTCAGAGTTCATCTCTGAAGATGAAACAAGTTCATCTCTGAAGAGTCATTTTGACTCTGTATATGGCTTCCGCTAAGGTTGTCGAAACTTCAGTCAACAACAAAACAATCCTTCTCAGGACTATAACCTGATGATCTACATTACAAACATGTAACGATACTCTCGGTTCAAACCATTTACTTTACTGCAAAAAAGTATGGTTGATGACAATAACTTAATACTTCCCTCTCTCAGCATCCGTGGTTTCTCAAAAATCACAGCAATCGGCGACAAAGGAAGCCAATGCACTAGCCTCATAAGAGGCAACACATGCAGCCTCTGATGAAACATAAGCCCGTCTTCTGATTAAGCTGAAACGTTATACAACAGGGACAGTGTTCCCCATAACACGCAAGTATAGCCTTTTTGAAGGAAATGATCACCCCTTTAATTCCAAAATTTTTGATGGTTTCCTTCATGTTGCCTTCATACGGCAACGCTGAGAGAGAAAGTTTGAGAAGACGAAAATGATGGTTTTCTTACAGTTGACTCTCGGGCCTCTTATGATCATCCAAAAACACGCATATCAGATGAGAAAACTAAAACTGTTCATAGAAATTACAAGCAAGCCACATGAAATGCTTTTTCGAGTTGATTTATACAAACAGCCAGTGTATCCCTTTAAGGGAATCTGTGACAACTGTTCTTCTATTTGAATAGGTAGAATAGCAAAGTGGAAAAGTTGAATTTTTAGAAAGGCAATATATTTGCTTCAGTAAATCATTTGCAAAAGAACATGCTTTTGAGGGGTTTTTCGGAAAGGCTTCCAATGCAAATTGTACAAAGCTTGTAAAACCGGTTGCTAGTTTTCTCTTCCAAAATTCTCTTCTTTTCCCAATACTGCTATACAAAGTACTATCTTTCAAAAGAACTTAACACTACATATCATGAATATATGAGTACGAGCCTCTTCCCCCAGTTAACAATCTTTCTACGCCCATGCTCGTCCAGTTGCTCAGCATAAACAGTTACACTCGCTCTTTAACACTGGTTTGCGCATGCATCGTGCTGTATCTTGTACAACTTCCATTTGTAACTGTTGACTCGTAGAATTCCTTCTAATTTGCGTTATAATGTTCTACGTTGCGTACAATACACTGCTGTGTTGCATCTTGTTTGTAATTAATAAAATGCTTTACATTCATTTGTCATCTAAATATAATAGGGAGCTTTAGCACGAGTACGGCTACGTGTTTTTGTTGTCGCAACAATCTTTTCGCGCCAAAATGACGTAAGTCGTACTCGTAGTCTTTGCTAAAGCTCCCTATTATTTTGTTACGCGTCATTTTAGGTAAGTGAGCTTGTCATGGCATATTTACTCTTTAAGAAACATGATTACAATGAGTGTGGTCTCACTCACTTTTTGCTGTTGTTTTTTGTAATTTTTTATCTATATTGTAAAATTTTCATACTCTAGGTGTCAAGTTTACTACGAAAGGCTTACGAAAATCGTTCTGTGGCCGCTACAAACTGTAGCGATCGCTCGTCGAAGTCACTCTGTCTTTCAACTAAAACTCGTCGGGAGTAATGAGATTACTGGGGAACTAAGTCAAGGCAGGATTATGCATATTTATGTTTTGTTTTCAGTTTAAGAATTTTTGAAATAGTTCGTCATATTAGAATATGGATGTTGACTATCGACTTAGTTCTATATGATTAGTCCAGCTTTTATTCTGCTTTAACACGTTTCCACGCGGTAAAACAGGGACTGCGCAGCGAAATCAAATCTGGAGGGGGGTTGGTTAAAGCCTGTTTTCCACTAGGCACGTGTCGTAACCTATCATAGCATGCGCCCTGTTACGTTTTGCTACGATACGTTACGATACGTAGCTATTGGCAGGCTTAGACATATTAACTAAATATACTACGTCTTACCTTGCCTTTAATTTAGCTAAAATGTATAAATGTTAGCAAAAACTTTATCTGGGGGTGGGGTGGTGTGTGCTCTAGTCCCCACTTTGGCGCCGTGGCTGTAAATGTCTCCTCGATATTCATCATATATTCAGTAGCAAAAGAATCTGCAAAATTGTTATCTATTGTTTTGCGATGACGATGAGCTAAATTTTTTCAGGGGTATTGAGTTTGGTTGATCTGGCGGGTTCTGAAAGAATAAGTGAATCCGGATGAACAGGATTAAGACTTAAGAAAGCTATACACATAAACTAGAGCCTCACACATTTGGGTATATTCTTCAACTTCTTGGCTATACTTACCTTATGATGGATGAACTTTAATTCATTGACAGGAGATATGATTTTTGTATTTTATTGATTAACGCTGTGCACAATGCGATTTTTAAACATTACATAAATATAAGAAAAATATACACATCTGCAACAATAGACCGTTCTTTGCAATTCCAACAATAGAAAGTTGCATGTTTAGATTATTTATTCCAGAAAATAAATGTTTGCGTCTGTTTTTAAATTTACTCAATCATACGTAGCTATACTGTGTAGAGAGATGATAGTCAAATAAATTATAATACATTTTAGGTTGGTCACGTGCCATATAGAACCTCGAAATTAACTCATTTGTTGCAAAACTCTCTTGGTGGTAACAGTAAAAGGTTGGTATTACTGAATATATGTGTATCAGATTTTCATCAATGTACACACGTCATTGTAGATGACATGAAGTATTAACATGTGTTAGTTGTGATAATTAGTGTATATGTAAATAATACATTCATATTTCAGTTTGATGTTCGTGAATGTTTCTCCTCGCGAGGACTCTTTCCACGAAACCCTATGTTCACTTCGATTTGCCACTCAGGTATGATTCGTATATGTCATAGCATGATTTCGAGTGCAATTCGGGGAAAACATGCACGAGTGAGTTTTTCAAAGACTATCGAAATTGCACGAGTCTGAAGGACGAGTGCCTGTTTTTCCCAAATTGCACGAGAAACCATGCTATTACTTATTAATAATATACATGAAAAAATTTCTCAATCCTGCCGGCAAGTTGTAAATATCGACCAACTCGTATTTTTGAATTCCGTCAAATATTACTTTTCACAACACCATAGCTTCCGCACACGCAGCTAGAACAAGGTATCTACTTTTAGCAGTGTTCATGTTTTCATACAGAAATAATTTGAAAACGGTGAACTGTAAGCTCGTTCGCCAAAGCATGAGTGTATGATCTATGAAGTAGAACATATATTTAGCATTTAATCTATTGTTGTATTTTCTCATGCTCTGTCATTAGGCTGCGACTACAGATATTTTTCATACGTCAATTTCTACGTGAGAAAGTGAATCTCATTTCATTTGGTTATAAACTATATATGTATGTTGCAACTAGCATTCAAGTTATTGTTTTTGAAATTTAACGTAAATTGTAACAGTGAAATCTGCACAACAATGTCATCAGGCATTAATATTTCACTATTGGCTGATTTCTAAAGGACATGACATAAGCATCCGCATAAACGTAAACTTAAAAAATATTTAACTCAAAGAAGAACAAATGAAGAATTGAATAAAAATTCCACGATGTCTTTGTTCTTGTAAACATTTTAGTAAGAGAAACTAAAGTCTTTTCGCTCATGTTCATTCCACTGTTGTAAAACATGCATAAACGTTTTAGCACGCTGCCTTACTCTACACTTTTATTCCATCAAAATCACCATTTTCCATTCATTGATATTCCGTGTGAAAACTTTAAGAAATAACTTACAAGACATTCCTCTGCAGTACAAAAAGTGTGAAGTTCAAAGTAATTATAAATGTCTTATAAAACAATGATATCAAACAAAAATATTTCCACTCGAAGTTCAGGCACAAAAATAGAAAATTTACTATAATATACATATACAAGAAAGTTTCTTTACGAAAACAATAAAATCCATAAAGACAAAAAATGCTTTCATATTCTTAAAAATTATTTATCAGGATTAATGGCACATTTTCACAGAATACATACGTCAGTTTTTTTGCGGTAATAGTCAATCTGATTAATGTCGCGAGCTAAACCAAAGTCTGCAATTTTCATTACTTTATCTTCACCAACTAAAATATTCCTGGCAGCAAGATCGCGATGAATACACTACAAAACTATTGGTGGTGTAAGGATAAATCATCACACCAATGCTTATATAGCTGTACAGTGATATAGTTCAAACTAAAGCTACCTTTCTTCCTGACAAATATTCCATTCCACGAGCAATTTGATAACTGAAGGAGACGAAATCCCTAAAGCACAACTTTTCTTCTCCTTCTATTGGAATGGTCTCTCCGTTTCGGTCAAGTCTTCTTTCACGAAGATATTCTCGTAAAATGCCGAAAGGTGCGTATTCGACAACCACCAGTAGCGGTCCTGAGAATTTCATGAAAGTAAATCAACGAAGCATAGTTTATGCGTGTAAGCATGTAGCTAGTAGGTATTCTCAACATTCAGTAGACTTTCAAAATCATCAGGAATGACACTTACGTCTGACAAAGCCGAGTCATGTCTTCGAAAACGCTGATTGTTCAACAGCGGATTCGTCGAGCTAGTCGACACAGATGATGAAGTAGAGCTCAGCAGGTCTCTCCCCTTCCGTGGATAATTTCGAGGGCGATAGCCGGCAACGCTAAACACGCGTTTCTTGTGTTTCTTGCATTTGAATGTTAATAAGTAGGCAATAGTTGAGCCTATGACACGAACGATGGTAGCCACGGATACAACAATGTAAAGGGAAATTCTTGAACTCTGAACTGATTCGTCCTTCTCAACTGGTTGTTGCTGGAGCATGCTGATGGTGCTGGAAAAAGTCTGGTTTGCTGTAAAAAGAAATGTGTGTAAACAAATAGTTGCAAACCTTGTTTTTGAAAATAGCTACAGTCAAACAGTCTTTGTCAGAAAATCACGTGTCATATGTAGATCACGCGTCAATGATAACACCTTTTTTATGGAAATAATCGTGGAAGTGAGATTAAAATCCATTGCTCTTAAAATTTCAAATAAAGTAAAAATCTCTAAAATAGCAGTTGCCCAGACAACGTGGAAAAGTTTTTTCGCTATTCGTAAAAATCATTGTAGTTTTTTCAGAATTTTGTTGCTCCTTGTGAAAACATACAATGCGTTGATTGGTGTCAGAGTGTTAGATATAATTATATGTTATTTACCGGCTGGGAGGTTCGGATGGAAAAATATTTTCCCGAGGTCTCAAAAAAAGCCCGTGGCCGCAGGCTGAGAGATATTTCTGAGACCGGGGAAATATTTTTCCATAAATCTAAATAACGTATATATTTTGCTAAAATAAACAATGAAAACTTTGCTCTTCATTTCACTTGAGCAAACTCAAAATTCACCTAAAATACATTATTATAATCAAAAGATGGCTGATAATTTCCTTTCGGAGTAAAACAAAACCAAACAAAACAGAAAAAGTCTTCGCTCAAGTATTAGCAAGAGGATTCCGGACAGCAGTCAGATATCGTAAAATTTCGCAAAATCGATCCCAACTCTACCAACAAAGGATTTCAAAAGGATTTATCCATATCGCAGTTAAATTCAGCTAGTCACTTGATTAACAGTCGAAATAAAACTAATGAAACCATTCGACTAGACCAGGGATCTCCAACTTTACAGCCAGAGGGCCACATGAACTTTCATTCAGCATGTTGAGGGCCGACAAACCGTATACCGCAGGTCAAAGAGCGAATATTTTAATAAAACGAAGTACATTACACAAGCTTTATTAGTTAAGAAAATATGTATTCAAAATTTGAAGGTTAAATTTCAACCAAGAGTAGTATCATAACAAAATAACTATTAGTCTGTTCAGTTTTCTCAATGTGAGTGGTGAAATTGGCTTCCTTAAGTGTCTCTGCGGGCCGGATTCAGAGGCCGCATCTGGCCCGCGGGCCGTAGTTTCGAGACCCCTGGACTAGACAATAAGCTCATGCAATGGTTGCGAAACTGCGCCAATGGTTTTATATGAGCGAAAAATAAAACATAAAAACGCACTCACCTGACATGGAGACTGGCGTCATAGGTCTTGGTAAAACGTGGAGGTAAAATCTTGTTTCATCATAACCCAGGTTATCGCCAACGACACAATAATAGTACCATTCGTCTTTTCTGGTTACGTTAATGAAGAGAATATGCACACCATGATATCGTTCATCTCCACCTTTCCATATACATTCGTCTTCGCTCAAGTTGGGATCCAGGACACGTACAGTTGCATTTTCTCCTTCGACGACAGCCCACTGAAAGTGCGGCAGACTATCGCTAAAAGCTTTACAAGTTGCCTTCACGTTGTCACCTTCTTATGCAGTGATGTTCTTCATATGCGTAATTAGAGGCTTTGTTATGAAGACTTCTGAAAAATCGATTTTAGCATGCTTTTTGTAAGCGATTTGTAAAAAAATAGGAAGAAAATTAAAGAAAGAATTGATATATATTAAAGCATTTGACATAGCAATTTTATTGGTGAAAATCTCTAGATACCGATGTTAAATGCTTTGTAAATAAGTCAATTAATATTCGGAAAAGAGTGTAAAAAAACAGGTCCATTTTACTACATAAATTAAGAAACGTGAAAAATGCCTTGATGTTATCTGCAAGATTTAATTTCTATCAGTCACTTAGAAAGTAATTCAACCCAGAAATTTAGCATTCAAATAAACTCATGCGCCTTTATTTTGTATAATGGTCATTAAAGAAAGTGTGCTATCCTGCATGCTGCCCAAAGCACCCTCAAATTTTGCAATTTCAGGCTGTAATTATTCATAGAAGGACTGAGGAGAGTGAATTTCACTAAATTCCATCAACCACAATTCAAAAATCGAAGATGGCGTCTAACGATCAACCAGCAATTTTAAAGATTTGAAAAGCAATTATTCGAGTTTGGGCGCATAGTTTTCTTGGGAATTTTTTTATGGGTGTATGCTAAGAGGAAAAGTACAAAATTGTAAAAATTTTCCATTTCTCAGATGTGTATCACGAAACAAAACAATTTGGTTTCATGGTCACGGCCTATCTGAAAGGAAAAGCATAAAACGAACGTTTTTTGAGTAACTACCTTTTGCTAGTACTGTGTATGTTGTTGAGATATTTCCCACTCTGTTCCATAAAAAACAACGGTAAGATCCGTCGTCTTTTGGATTTACATCGTGAAATATTAATACTTGTGTATCGTTCGCTAGAGGGTTTTTTCCATCCGGCATCTACGACATAAGTTGACCGTTTTTGTACCATTGCACCTTTGGTGAAGGTCGTCCATTAGCTTCACAGTTCATTGAAAACCGTTTTCCAACAGGAAAGTACTTGTGTTTCTTTTTTATCAAATGCGGAAATAGAAAAACGGGTGCAAAATCTATGAACATTTAGAGAGAGCAATGAATGTCCACAAAAAAGAGGTATGTCGTTATGATAGCCACTCCAGATTCTGAATACTCGATATTATAGGAGTGCCCTTTTTGGCACTTACCTTTAGTGATCTTGTCTACACGTGAGTCTGAAAAAATAAACATAATAGGAAAACAGGAAAGCACAAACTACAAGTCTTTGCCAGAACTTTGTCAAAAGAAAACCAGAAAATACAAATCAAAAGAAAGTTGAAGGTATAGCATTGTCGTGATCAAGGATCGAAGGCATTTAAACACTTACCCACGACAACAACGTTTATTATTCTGCTCACTTCTCCCGCCTTGTTTCTTGCCCAGCAAACGTATTCACCCAGCGTCAGCCATGTGATCTTTTTTATTATCAGATATCTATTCTTCTTGTAACGATATATTTTGCTATTTGTTATGCGTTTCCCTTCTCGTGTGAACCAGTAGTCGTTGTCCTCAGCACTGAGCACGTTACAGAGAATCTTTCCTTGCGAGACTCGTTTTCAACTTCGACCTTTGTGATGTTCGTTGTGAACGATGGAAGTTTCGTACTATTGGCTAAAATTGTTTTGAAAAAGATCGTCATTTCCACTAATTTCAATAATTCCAATAATAATAAAAAATTCAGTAATACAGAAGGAAAAACCGTCGTAAGATTAGCTGGATTGCAGAATTGTGTCGCAAAATTTAGTAATTCATATTAATTTGCTGTTGAATTTATCTGGTATTTTTCTTGGTAATACTTAATGACATTAATTATTCATAAAATATATTATGTTCATGTTGTTTAATATTCGCATAATTTAAACATCACACTAATGTTTATCACTTACAAATCATTTTCATGTACGGCCCAAACATATCTTCTTAATAGGTCATTTCAGTGTCAGTTTCATTACTGCGATCAGATGAAGCCATATCATAGCTGCTGCTTGTCCAAATAATTTCAAGTGACGTAAATTTATCAAACAAACGATTTTTATTGTCTCTCAATGAAATACGAAGTTTCAGATCTTGAGGACTTCGTACGTGGAACTAAATATAACAAAGATGGTGATTGTAGATACATGAATAATGAATTCAATAATAGAACATGCAGTAAATAGATAATGCTGCGGTATAGTCAATACATTGCAAACATATTTGTATTTTATTAAATCTATATTTGACACATCCTTAACATGACAATTTTCGTTCTACCATAATTTCTAATTAGCAGCAATTTTAAAAAACACTTGAGAAAAACGACGATTTATTTGAGAGCAAACATGTTTCGACATTATCAGAATGCCAGGTGTAAATGTAGATGTGCATGTACATGTACATGTAGATGTACATGTAGATGTAGATGTGAACGTTAAACGCGAGATGGAAGTGGAAGCTGTTACAATGGAGACGAAAATCGACAAAGTTAGAAAAACATATGATTCTGAAATAAAAGAAATTTAGAAGAATCATAAGAAGGAAATTGGTAAGGTAAAAATGGATACTCAATAAATTTTAAGTCTACGTACGTATGGCGTTGATCAAACTAAACAGCGTCGATTACTCATCATTTGATTCCGCCAATTTTTTTGTTCATTTTTTTTTCATGAAAAAAATAAACAAATAATTATTTCTTCTAGATGCGCAAAGATTTTCAGGAAATAGTGAAGCTAAAAAACTCTTTGAAAGAGGAAAATGTTTGGTTTAAAAGCGAAAAAGAAGAGATGGATGGTAGGATTAAGAAATTACGAGAAAAATTAAAACAAACAAAACATCAACTGGATGAGTGTGTCAAACGAGAAAATGATAAAGAAGTAGAGTTGGAAGTTGCCCATAATAAGATTGAAGTAAGAGTAAGTTTTTTTTGTAACTTTGTGTATATGTGACACGTTTTTTACGGTAAACAATCTATCACGTGTTGTATTCAATCCATCACGTGATGTATTAATCTATCACGGGGTGTATTCAATCTATCATGTGGTGTACTCAAAGATCCATTAAACTTTATCATATTCAAATTTTTTTTATTGAAATTGTCTGATTCAAAATCGTTTCATTTCAGTCAATGAATCGTGAACGACATTAGACAACTTGAAAATTGAATACAATCAGAACAATATTGAACGGGTCCGGTTTGTTGCTTAACTTTTCACCCATTTTCCATCAAATTTTACTTCTTTATCTTCTCTTTTATCCCATATCTTCCTAGGCCCGTTCATTACAGGATTTCATTTCACAATTAACAGAACTTCAGGAGCAATTTCAAACATTAGCGCAAGCTCAACATGAGACA